TATATATATATATGTCCTACAACTCAGAATTCTTGCTTTCCAACTAAATGTCCAAGTAAGCCAAAGAATATAAAACCTTATCAACACAATTCTAGATTCTATATACACGTTTAATTTTTTTAAATCTGTATGGCAATGGTGGACTACTGCTCAACAGCAAAGACATATGCCATGATATGATGATACTGGGGTTTTGTCCCTCCAAAAGAGTTTTTCTTTAAAATTTAGCAAGCAATCAAATTTTATTATAAAGAACAAGTCATGGTCTAGTTACGGTTTTCTGGATTCATTTGCTGTTGGTAACATGCTTTTTAGCTTTTCTTTGTGTTTTTTTTTAAATTTTTATTAAATTAGTCCATTTCAGAGCAAAGTTTTTACTTTTAAACTTCTTTGTTCCTTTAACGTAGCCCTGCTGTATAAATTAAAGGAATTAGAGTTACATTTTAAAAACAATAAAGCATAAGATATGTAATAAAAGTATAGGTCACACAAACATAGTAAATCAAATAGATGCGTAATCACTATCTAGGTCAAGAAAAAAATTATCAGAGGGTACTCCAGTTCTACGGGATACTCTTCTTCCTATTTTTTTTTAAATTATATTGATGTGATAATACAGGATAAGTTAACATTACAAAACGTTAAGAGAGTATCTCCTTAAACCCCAGTATCTCCCACATATGCAACGAAAGTGAACTTTAAAACTTTTAAAGAGCGCGTTCCCTCTTTTTTATTGCGTTCCCTTTTTAAACTCCTTACACCTATCTTGATTCCACAGCTGACCTCACCTGCAGTTTAATAAAAACAGATAATAAAACTTCCGTGTAGATTTTCATTGCTCCAGCTCTCCTTTGCCTTCAACTACAAAGAAACAATGATTTAAACCCTTTGTGCCCTTTTAGAAAATTACACAGATACCCCATTGTGGAATCCTATAATCCCTTCGTGGAAAGGAAGAGATTAGCATATGAATACAAAGCAAAATGAATACAGAATACAAAATGATCTACTGGATTGTTGAGCTCTTTAATTCTTGAAAATTTATTTCTTTCCACTTTTTGTATTGTTCCTTTAGTGATCTTAGGGTTAAGAGAGAATTGAGTTTTCCCTCTGATTACCCGGAAAAGGATTTAAAAATAAAAATTTAAAAACCAACAAAAACCCAGCCAACAAATTCTAAGGGATACAAAACCAACAGATGGCTCTTAGAGACACTGGAATCTGCTACACCCGACATAAACTTGCTTGCCGGCGAGGAGTGTAGAAAGTGCTGTTTGCAGATTGCGCGGTGAAGGAGAGAAAGCGACAGAACAGAGAGCCATAGTGCTGACGTTGAAGGCCCAGCCCTGTAAGGTTGCATAGGGTAAGTGGCGTTGGCCGGGAGGCAGTGGCGAAAGAGAAGGAAAGAGGATTTGGGCTAGGGGGTGGGCCTGCGGCGCAGCGTGGCTCCTGATTGCTGGAGCGCGGCTGCCAATCTCGCTGAATCGCTCGGTTAACCAGTGCGCTGGCGAGACGCGCTCAGATATACTGAGTGAGCCCTGAGCAGCACTCTCAGATCCTGACGGTGCAGCAGCCCGCAGCCTCAGCCAGGGAGTCCCAGTCGCTTTCAATGGAGGAGAAGCCCGGCCAGCCACAGTCTCAGCACCATCACAGCCACCACCATCCGCACCATCATCCCCAGCAGCAGCAACAGCAACAGCCGCACCACCACCACCATTATTATTTCTACAACCATAACCACAACCACCACCACCACCACCATCACCAGCAGCCTCACCAGTACCTGCAGCATGGAGCCGAGGGCAGCCCCAAGGCCCAGCAAAAGTCGCTGAAACATGAGCAGAAACACGCCCTCCAGCAGCACCAGGAAACGCCGAAGAAGAAAACAGGTCTGGGAGGAGGGCGGGTGGGGGAAGGGGTTTGGGGGTAGGGGGCCGAGGTGGTGGGGGTGGGGCTGGATCGGAAAAGCGCGGCCGGGCTCGGCGGGTGTCTGTCCCTGTCCTTTGGGTCTGGGATGTCCCCTTTCATTCTCCCAAACCCACCCTGGCCTGGGGCCGGACAGCTGGGTTAGTAGCGCCTTCTCCTTCCTCCTCGGGAGAGGCCCAACCAGGCCAGTGTGACCTTCCCGGCCCCCGCCCCGGCCGGAGGGAGAGCGGGACGATCGGCGAGTCCTGCCCCACTCCTTTCCCATTTCCCTCCTTTCTGCCCTGAGGGGGCCTTCATTTGCGGCCTGGTGCTGGGGTGAATCCATTCCCCTCCCCCCTAGTCCCTCTGGGTGTAACTCTGGAAGGCCTAGCGAATCCCTTCTCGGGTGGGTGACGCGAGACCTTTTGCAAGTGGCGAGGGGGAGAGGGTGGGTGGGCAGAGTTGAGGAAGTGTCCTCCCTCATCGCCACCCCAGGCCCACCTGTGGCCTTGGGGTTCCCCGTCTGGGGGGCGAGTGGGACCCCTTGTCTCTCGGGTCATTTCCACCCTGAAACACCCCTTTTGGCCTCTGGAGGCCGCCGTCTCTCCCCGCGGCTCCTCCCGAGACCGGCGCCCCGGGCCCGCTCCCCCCAGAGCCGGCGCGGCTGGAATGTTCTCTCCTCCTCGCGGGGCCGCTTCCTGTCCGCCATGTTGGAAGCCGATTCCTGTCACCGACTCCGGCCCGCCGAGGAGCAGAGGGGGAAGGGTGTCGAGGGGGCACCCGGCACGGCGGAGCCGGGTGACCGGGGATTCCCAGCGGCCGCCGCCTCGCCCCCCTGTGCTGCGGGGGTGCCGCAGGCCCACGGCCGCCCCTCCCCCCCGTCGCCGGCCCGGGTTGTGTAACCCGGTGGCGGCCGCGCGGCCCCGGGCGGGTCCCTGGGGTGAGGGGCGGGGGCGGTTAGGGTGGGGGAGGGAAGTGGCCACGAGGGGAGCGGCCTGCGCCGGGCCCCGCGCGCCGGCGGCCGCGTTTCCCGCTCCCGGGTGCGGCGGGCGGTCGGGGCGGGGAACCGGCCTCGCGGCGGAGCCGAGGGGAAAGGAGGCCGCGGGCGGCGGCCGGGACTGGAGGGCTGGGTAGGGGGGTGCATTTGGGGTAGAGGCGGTGCCTGAAGGCCGGGTGGGGTACCCAGCGGGAACCCAGCTCCCCGGTCACGAGTTTCTCTGCCACTGGAACCTCGTCTCCTGCCAGGTTCGCTCACGACTCCGCCTGTGAGGCTTTCACTTGGGCCCTTTCCTCATTTTCTACCATAAAAGCTTTTTTTTCTCTCCAACCCTCCGCCCCCAACATGGACCTTCCGAGCTTGGGTCGCCTTTGAGACTGGGAGGGATTAAAAATAGTAGCCTGGGAGAGATGGTGAGGTTTTATTGTTTTGTTGTTTTGACCCCTTGTTCTTGTCCTTTAGGATGAACCGAGGTGGTTCATCCATGAGATTGAATTACTACTACCATCTTGCCTCTGAAGAGGCTTTTGTCGTGTTTCAAGGAAAGGTGTGTGTTCGCATCTTAAAACCGACAATTGACCCCAAAACCTCTTTTTAAGAAGTGCTTGAGGGTAAAAGTTATTTTAGAGGAGATTGGAGAAGAAATAAGCTTATAAATTTATAACTTTGCAGATTTAAAGGAATAAATTTATTATAAATTAAAATGAAGGAAATTGTAAACAAGTCTTAAACCCTGCGTGTCTTATGTGGCACAGGCAGTTACTGAAAGCTGGAGAAAAAGGACTTGCTTCTCTGTTGCATACTTAATGTAACTTTAAGACAATTTGGAAGTCCAAATTTCCCCATTTAGGGTTTTTGTAGAGACGTATGAAAGTATTTGAAACCGTTTAAAGGTTGTTTTCAACCTAAAGGTTAGAATACTTTACCTTATAAGGTTGATTTAGGATTTATTATTAGAAAATATTGCTTTGAAGATGAAAAAGTTGTTTTTCATAGATTAAGTTTATATACTTCTGTAAAATTCCCTTTCTGCCTTTAAAAGCCACTTCCAAAACCATTCAAGGTGGTATCCCCTCAAAATAGTACGCTCGTCTTGCAAAGGAAAAAGTGGAAAACTGGGCTAGTGAATGTGAAGTTTGCGGTCTGATTACTATGCTATTACTTTGACCCACATAATGCTGTATATATGTCGAGGTGGGATTTTAAGTGACCCATTACCTACAAACCTATGGAAAGTTAGGTTTTTTTCGTCATCCAGAAGAGGGCGCAAGAGAGGGTCAAAGGTGTAATTTCACTTTCAAATTCATATATAGATTTATTAGGACACAAGTTTCGCCAGACCCATTTGATGTATACCATGGCACCCCTAAATAATAAAGAGACCACTGAGAGTCTTTTTTTTTTTGTTGTTGTTGTTTTTTTAGTGTTTATGTTAGTATGTTTTAGTTTGTAATTTTAGGTTTAAAAAGAAATCTTGCGGAAGACTTTATACACCAGCAAGATTGCCATGGGAAAAAGGTCTTTTACATAGCTAAGTAATAATTAAATCTTTGGGGTTTGACAGTAATTTTTCTTTACTGATTACTGAAATCTACACCAATAAATATTAGTACTCGTACTAAAAAATTACTCCAGTTTACTTTAAAATTAACTTTGGTCCAGCTGATTGGGCATGAATTTTTTTTTTTCTTTTTAGTTGAGGCTGCTTATCTTTGAGATACGAAAAGTTGTGACTTAATGACCAGTTAAGTGATATTTGTAGGTTTTTGGTCCAAAGTTGGTATATGACAAGAGTAATCTTTTCATAAATATCCCAAGCAGTAATCTTTTTTTCCTCTTTGAGAGTTGTGTTTTTCCACCAAAAGTGATGTGATTGACAAGCATTAACTTTTTTTCCAGGAGCCTCCCAAAAAAAAGTAACCACTCAGCCTAAAAATTTTACAAAATCTATTTTTTCATAGTTAATAGTTTTGGTACAATCTTTTTTTAAAAGTGTATTCTCTGATAATACAGTAGAAGGGAAATGTTTAGTTCAATTTTTTAGTGTTTTCTCAACCTTTTTTTTTTTTATGTAGAGTGGTGGCTTAAAATTAAGACCCTCTGAAGAGCTTTTGATGTGAATTATAGCTAATGATATTTACCATATTATGAATTAAAGTAGAAAGTTACAAAACAAGAATACACCAGTTCACATGCCTTAACAAGTAAAGGCCCAAGAGAATGAAAAATAAATATTCCAGCTGAGACCACTACCTCTAATAGTATACATCCTGTTGCCTTTCTAATAACTTAATCTCTAGTGCTTTATTAAAGTATTTCCAGTAAAGATAAGTAATAAGCACTATTTTACTACTAGTAAACAAATGGGGAAAGTTGTTGTCCTACTTTGGTCCTGAATCATTTGGCTGTGTGAAGGCCTTTTGAATCACCAGTAATAATAAAACTGTTTATGATGGTTGATGGTCTTTAATTGTATCAGAGTAATAGTATGCTTTAAAATTGTAGTTTTTGTTAGCAGATTTTGTCTTACTGCTTCATTTGGGTAGGTAGTATATGATAACTTGGATTTCAGGTGAACTGGAGGTCAAAGTTCCATTTCTCCTGTGTGTGTGTGGTTTTGCTTTTTTATGAATTGACAGGGGGCATAGTTTATTCCACTTTATGCAGACATAGTGACCCACCTGCTCAAGGAGCCTAAAAATAATGGACTGATTCACATGGTATCTGTCCCCTGCTACCCCCCAAGACATAGAAAGACACTTGGCTGTGTGGGGTGGGGTGGGGTCTGAATGTCCAGGGGCCTGAGAGCCTCCATCTTGGAAGAGGCAGCAGTGTGAACCCAGGTGGTGGGGCCACATGTCCTTTCTTCTCCCCCCCCCCCCAATCCCATTAATCTCTTTTTGAGAAGTCTGTCCAGATTTAAATGTATTTTACAAGGGTAACAGACATTGGTAGTTAGGACTTTTGGTAAGTTTGATCTATTGAAGAGTTTTGTTCAGTTTTAAAGTTAATTTAGAAAGAGAGTAGCAGAAATGGAGACTGCTTATGATGACCACCAGCGATTTATGGTTTTACAGGAATGAAGTCTGAAATGTCTTAAAATAATAATTACTAAAGCAATTTAAGTACTTGATATTACCAAAACAATAGCACTGCTTTGCTCTTATGCTGCAAATTATAGAGGAAATTTTATAACGGCCTTCTGAGAATGGTAAGTCCGTTGATGGAAGGAATTAGGGTGTACAACTTGAAGGAGTCATATTCTCCCTGATCTCAGTCTTTGATAAAATCTTGCTCAGTTCTGCCCCTTATAACATTGTAGCCAAGTGACTGACTACCTGGGTAACCCCATTTTCCTCATCTGTAAAATAAGATTAATGAATGTCTTACAGAGGTGGGAAATAATAATGTTTATAGCTAAAACATAGTAAATGAAGGAAATCTTGGGTAGTACTGTAATTTACATTTTGTGACTTAAAAACATCTTTTTGTTTTTCTAGGATATGGTGAACTAAATGGTAATGCTGGAGAAAGAGAAATATCTTCAAAGAACCTGGGTTCTGATGAAGCTACCAACCCTTTTTCCAGAGTCC